TCACTTAATTATTAATATGATTACAATCTTTTGAACAGTAATGTATATCTTGTAGCACAATCTGTTAACAAAAATAATTTGAAGCATGAGACGACATAAAAAGTGATATGGGGAAAACAATACCATTGGTGCAGTATTGTGGTGCTCAGGCCTAATTTACAGTTATCATCTTATATGAAGTCCAATTCAGTACCAAATCAGGATTGTTATTCTCAAAAACAGAAGTGCTCCTTTTTTATACTTCTCTCTCTAAAGAGCCCCAGACTACAAGTGCCAAATTTTATGGGTCTAGTAATAATAAATGCAAAATATTAGCTTTACATCTGCTAAATTCACAGCAACAGCTGAGGTCAGTGAGTTTAGAGGATTCAAACAGAGGAGACAGATGACAGTCCAGGTGGGCTAATATTAATTTTATGATTGAATATTCTTTTTTTCTGTAGGGACACAGCCAAATTGGTTAGAAATCAGTTTATGGGAGTGCTGCAGTTTTTACAGGCTTTTTAATCTGTGAAGAGGTTGAACAGTAGTGTGATACTGTGAAGCTGCAGATGTAACCTCTCCACTGTTTAGAATGGCATTTGGAGAGTGCCAGGGGACATTTCATGTGAACCTGCCCTTTCCTGTTCTATCCTCATCCAGTCGCCTGGGAGTTCAGCCACAGCATTAAACAGCTAGAAAACTTTTCTTTCTCGGGTCAGTCTGGGTTCTTTCATGCTGCACTTCTGCACAGTGTGAAGAGTGAAGTGTAAAAAGGAAGGGCTCGCTCTTTCATTTCATCTCAGGAACGAAGATTTTTCAGAGAGTTGACAGTCACTGCTGGTATTATGCCTAGCTTTAAAAAAAGAACTGGGTTCATATGTCTGTTTAGACTTCCTATAGAGAAAATCAACACATCTGCAAAAAAGAAGACGCACTGGCCCTTTGTCATCAAAATGGTGTAAACAAAGAGCACAGATTTGACCGCCGTTAATGACGTTCAAACAATTCTGTGTCTGAAAGCTTTCATACAAAACAAGCACAAATGAAAAATCAACTTCTGTGCATGAAATCAAGCCCCGGCCTACCAGTACTTCATTTACAACTCATTTACATGCCCTTATTCATACATATGTTTTGGTAGGGAGCCAGTAAAATTACAGCATGTCAGCTCGTGACCCAATAGCAGTAGCTGTTAGGTGAACCGCGAGTGAATCCTACTCCCCCTACAGACCAAAGTTAAAATTACGCTGAATGAAAAGAATAAAATGTTAAATAATCAAAATGTTTTGGTGTTTTTTAGACGGTAGAATATTGTATAAATAGTGACTCCAGCATTTGTTTATACCAATGTGCATGTAAAATAAGTACATCCAATAGTTATTTTCTATTTCAATTCATATTATTGGTATTATAGAAGATATTGATAAGTATTGGTTATTTAACCGTAAAGCAGGCATTTTCTCTCCAGGTTGTTAAACTATTATGCTCAAATTTAAATGCACTCTTAACAAACTTAAATTTTGATTTTTAAAACTTAAAAATCACAATTGCTACAAGTGACATTTAAGCATGAGTGTGTGAACACAGTTGGGCAGAACACTGAGAACACTGGGTCTTTTCAAAACAGGTTGGACTGAATACAGATACTTTATTTCTGTATTTTGAATACAGATTCCAAATACTTACATTTGGTTACAACTCAACACTGTGTGTGCATAGCGTAAGCCCCTTCCTCTCCCCTCCCACTTTGCTCTGGATGCACTCAAACGCCTAGTTTTGATCATTGATGGTGGTTTCCATTAAGGAAAAGTCGCTTGGAAGAGACCAAAGGGGCGTATCAGTGATATGGTTTTAAATCTTGTTACGCTGTTCCAAATATTCTTTTTTATTATTTTATTTTTCAATACTGTATTGAAATCGTTACAGTATTATCTTTAAATATGCAGCTATTTACTATTACTATTACTATTTAGCTATTTATTATTATTATTTACTATAATGGTACATGATTGCTTTAATTTGCAAACTGTGAGCCAGTCTTTTATTTACTTACTGCTCTATAGGGCTGTCACAATTACTCAAACTCAATTACAGAATTAAATTAAATATAAAATAGATTAAAATTTACCTCCTCAAAGAATCAGCACTGCAAGTTACAGGGCAATAATGTGCATTTTAAATTCTACTGCTTTCTTTTTAGTAAAAAGAAACCTTATGGACATTTTTGCAGTCATAATATTTTTGTATCTTTTTAAATTGAGACTTTTTTTAATCTTTTCCAATAAAATATTTTGGAGATCATGCATGGTGTAGTTATTGTTCAGTTAAGACCAGTTTAATCATTTGGCCTTTTGTAAAATAAAAACTCTGATTATGTGATTAATTATTAAAGATAATTATTAGATTACTTGATTAGTAATATAAACTCAGAGGGCTTTATAATAAAAATCCAAGAAAGCAGCACAGGAAAATTCTCGTCTGAAGGTTCAAGTTCGAAGTTTTCAAGCATGTTTATCTTAGGTGGTTTGAAAGTGTATACACCAAGTCATTTTGCCAATTAGGGTTAGTGGAGCTGATGGTAATAAGGGATTGTCAGCTCATTATTTTGGATGCAGTGTCCAACCACTTGGTTATTATGGGCCGAGAGATGAAAGCAACCTCTAAAACTGCTTTTACAGTCAAAAGCTGCCGCAGGATAAACCGCCCTTGCTCATCCATTTGAAGCTAATGGAGTCAGGGCTATTATTCGGTTCAGTGGGAGCACAGCAGCTCTGTGCAGAGAGGAAGTCACCCCAGAGAATGTGTAAAAAATAAAATAATAAAGAAAAAAAAATAAAAGTGCCCATGGAGAACATAAGGTGTGAGAGACCACTGAGGTGAGAGACAAGATGGTTGAGCTGACCTTAGACTGCATTTTGCATGAAGGTTTGCTGACATTTGACAGAAGTGAGAATTCTACCATTTTGTCATACCTTTTGCATAATTAAGTCATTAAGATCATTCAGAGTGGTTTGATGTGAAATGCACTGTTATGAAGAAACTTACCCAGTCAGAACTGTTCACAGTGGTGGTGATGGGAACCAGACATCTGAAACATTTATGCCTCTTGAAGTTCCTTCACAGGAAGTTATTTTACAAAATGGTTCTGAATACCCTGCCTTATACCTGACACATTTTGGCATAAAACACATTTGCCTTATCCATTTATGAGTGAGCGATTAATGCAGATCACTGTAAGACAAAATAGTCCCTGAAGAAAAATGATATCTTTCAGATTTACCACTTTTTTCACTGTTATCACCATTACATATGAAAACTCATATTGAAATATGAGAAATGAAATTATGGAAATTAATGTGCAGGTTCACTGGTTGTTTTTGATTGTGAATAAAACTGCTATCTTTATGTTGTAGTCATGATGACCCCTGGTTTTATCATCACCACTATAAACCACTCTGAATGACTTTGTTTAAACCTCAACCACTAAATTTTGCACCAATTTTGAAAAATCAGTCTATTTTTTGCCTTTATGTAATCATCACAATAATCATCGGATTGCTCAATAGCTATTATAATCAATAGTTATAGCCCTAGTACTAACTAACATTTCAGTATTCAACTTCATCAGCTTTCTCTGTGAAGTCCTAGGGGTGAGAAGAACACTGAGCACACGCAGGCGTAATTATGGACGTCTCTGTGGTAATTAAGAGACCCATTCCCTGTTGGGAAGACTTTCCTGATTAAAAAGATTGTCTATCTGCAGTGGTTCCTAACTCATGTACAGTGTACCACACGGATTTAAGGAACGTTTCTCCAAACTTTTAATAGTATTGAGCTCTTGAAAAGACAAGAAAACAATATTCAGGTCAATTCTGAACATTTTCAATACATTGATTTATTACATAGCCTGGTCTTTTCATCCCTACCACTCAGTACATGCACAGTGTGGACCTCAAGCCGGTATTATAATCGGGCCCTTATGCAGCCATCTGCTTGCAGTTCTTGGAACAGTAGGAGACCCTGTCACTGTCCTGCTGTTCTCTTGGACTTGAACTGACGGTTTCATTGCTGGAACAGTCTGCTTCTTGTTTCTTAATGTAACACAGGGCTGGACGAGTGCCTTAATTCAAATACTGATACTTATGCAATCATAAGTAAGAAACAAATTATGTCTAGTACTAACATTATTGCAGTCTTTTCCTATAAGAGAAATCCCACATGAAAATTTTGCAGAATTCAGTCATTAAGGTGTAAACAAAGCCATTCAGAGTGCTGAGTCAGAACTGTTTACAGTGGTGGTGATGGGAACCTGATGTCTTAAGAGTTTAAGTTCCTTTACAGAAAGTGAAGTGACACATATGTTGCCTGATGCCTGAGACGTTGTTGATGACAGTTTTCAGAGGTTTTTGGCAGAAATGTAATTTTCAAATATTAATAGTGGAGACGTATATTGCAGGGAGTAAGACAAAATAGTGCCCAAAGAAAACTATTGTATTACCATTATCAACATCACAGATGAAGCCTTGTGTAGGTTCACTGGTCACTTTAGGTAGATCTGCATAGTTAATGTAGGAACCAGGGGTCACAATCACCACCACTGTAAAGAAGTTGGAAAGTTTCTTTACGTTGAACCATTTCACATCTAACCACCCTGAAGGACTTTGTGTACATTTTATACAGAATTTTTGAAAAAGCCGTGGAATTTCCCTTCATTCTTTATTTTAAATTATAACAAAATTCCTTTTGTTCAGAATGCTCGATCACAGCATTAGACTTTACGTGCAACCGTCCTGTTTTGCATTGTGTCTGTCAATCAGCCAACAGTCCATTCAATGTATTTATATTTAATATTTTTTTTAGCAATGCACATTAATTCTATCTTTTTATTATATTAAAAAAACTACCTAACTTTACTAAAAGGTCAACATAGACTATTTTGCACAGTGTATGTTTGTTTATCTGACAGGCTTTTTTTTAGCTTACATAAATATTCACCTGAGCAAAACTACATACGCTATGTGTTTCTACCTTAGTTCCTGTTTAAAATTTGATCCAGTATGGAAACACATACACGCTACTGGAAAATGTTTCTGTCCAGCTTGTCCAAAGTCAATGGCTCATATTCCTTCAATAGTCTTGATGACTGTCTTTTCTCATACTGTCTTAGGGCTGTCTTTCCTCTGAGTGGATTGTCTGAGAGCTTTCAGTGAAGGATGCTGGATATAAAACTCATATAGCTTTGACCAAGCTTTTTCAAGATCAGGACGACTGACATTGCTTCCATCCTGACAGAAAAAGGTGGTCAAATTAAAGCAGTTCCTCACTAACTCCCATATTAGCTCTCACATATAAGTCATTGTACTAGTTGGTGAATAATCATGTGCGACCTGGAGCAAACGTGAATGTGGAATCCTCTGCGTCCTTAGGAACCATCTCGTCTTGCAGCGGAGAAGAACCCTCAGCCAAATCCAGCTCGACAGGCGTGAAGAGGGAAGCGTCCGGCCTTTCCAAGAAGGCTCTCCATGGGGTCGGACCGGTCGTCCACTCCGATGAGCTCTCGCTGGAGGAAGCAGGGTCCCAGCTGGGTGGCCTGTGTGTGCGGGTCAGCTCCACTGGTTGGTTCTCCGCTGCTGAGTCGTCCCCAGAGCTGTCATACCTGTCCTGCACAAAGTCAGTGACCCCTTGCCTCCCGGGCAACTCGCTTACTCTGTCCTCTTCAGGTGCACGGCTTGGCTCTACAGTAATGCTGGGGTCAGTATTTGTTGTTCTAGATGCAGAGCCTCCAGGGAGGTCACTGGAGCTTTTCCCACTGCTGTCCACCCCAGTGTATGCTCCCTCTGCAGCATCTGTGGTTGCGAACGGCTCTGCAGCTGAATTATTCGTATTGCTGGTATCTAAGAGAGCATCCGTGCTATTGATAAGACTGGAGATCATGGAGGTAGTAGAGACCGTGGCTGTAATATCTGGCCGTCTAGACGACGGCGATGCTGACGTTGGCTTCCATATCAGACTGTAGTAAATAGCCAGGATTATGGCAGCCAAGGACACGGACAGAACGTATGCGAAAACTGTAGCTAGTCTTACCCACTTCTTGTTGGTCTTAGCGGCCATTTTTGCCTTTTTGTCCCCCGTGTATGTGGCAGGTTTGCCTCGTTCCATGTTAGGCATGAAGTCCCGTTCCTTCATGCCCCCCCGGTGTCTCCCTCTTTGCTCCTTTTCGCCGTCCGTCTTGAGGCTTTTTGAGCTCGACAATATGAAGTTCGGGAAATTTCTCTTGTTTGGTTCCTCACGTTGTGGTGGTTTCTACTTTCCCTCCGTTCACAAGTGCTTTCTCGAAAACACACCGAGGCATTCTGCATTACAGTAGTTCCAGCCTGCTACAAACCCGTTCTGTGAAGGTGGCACATTCCCAAATCCCGCTCATTAAGCCCTGCATTCGACTCTTTACGCTATTAAACCGCCACACGCGCTGCACATGCTCTGCCGTCTGATGCGCGAGAGGATCTGGTGGGGTGGCTGAATGAGGTGAAGAGCAACATCAGCGTCCTGCCCGCCTTCTCCAGCAGATGGAGTATCACTCCGAGCCTCAGAAAGGAGCACTCCTAAAGGGGAATTTCACCCATTTCTCAAAATTTCTGAATAATTCAGTCATTGGGATGTACATAAAGTCTTTCAGAGTGGTTTGACGTGAATTGGTTCATTGCTCTGATCTGTCTTCAGTGGTGCTGATAGGAACCAGGGGTCCTGATGTCTACAACACAAAGATAGCGATTTTATTTACTATGAAAAAAGACCACTTAACCTACACGAATCTTCTGAGTTTTTACATGTAATGATGATGGTAAAATAGTAATAAATCTGAAAAAAATACGTGTTTTGCCGTACAACACCCTACATGTAAAATCAAATCAAATCACGTTTATTGTCACATCACATTTACACAGATGCGAAGGTGGGTGAAAATCTTTGGTGCGTGACCCCCTTGTATTACTTAAATATACCAGTGTTGTACCATTCCAATATACAGTTTTTGTACAGTACTGAAATAAAAGCTATGATATGTATAGTTGTACACATTTCCATAAATGAGATGCAGGGTAAATAGAGGATAGCATATATGCATTCCAGATTATACAAGATATAGATAGAAGATGTACAAGATGCCTATATGTGTAGATAGAGATGTACCCTTACGCCGTGAATGGATTAAAATGGATTAAAATACATTTTAACCCCAAACTTTATCACAAAACTATCATAAAACAATGTCTTAGGCAGCGTATTCATAATCATTTCATGCAATAACTTTCTGTGCGTGAGCGTTTGAGGTGGACGTCTGGTTCCTTTCACCACCACTGTGAACAATTCTAAGTCAGTTTCTCTAGAGCAATTTACACCAAACCACTCAGAATTAGCTTTTTACATGTCAGCCATTTAATTATGCAGAATATTTGAAAAATCGGTGGAGTTCCCCTTTAAGTAGGGATAAAGCGTCAGGCTCGCTCAGGCTACAGACGAGGAGTCGATTCCAGAAGAATCGATTCTTCGACTTCAACGCATCTGGGAGTCCGAGTTGACTCTTGCCTGCTGACTTAGAGAGCCGAAACGCTTGGACTGAGCCGTGTTTTTTCACCGTGTGAAGCAGGAGAGAGTCTGAGTCTGAGCAATGTGAGTTTGTTCAACTGCCAGCTTTAAACAGTGCCAGCGCTGCTGTAGCTTAAGCACAAACTCAGTTCACAGAAACGTTTTCGACATGCACTGCACCGCCCTGCACCCCAACTCTGCTTTTTCTTCAACATTAGTGTTGGAACGAAAACTAAAAACAAATAATGTTTTTCACAGAGCGTTCTGGAAAACAGGGTGACGCTGAAGTTGCCCTCTTATTTGTTCGCTAGTTATTCAAGATTTCCGTTCCACCTTAAATGGCACCTACGCAACAGTTAGTTAAATGCTGCAGCATTTAAGGTGGAACGAAAAAGTTAAACGACCTGGCGAATACGAAGCCAACTCCAGCCTCGTGAAAAAAGGGACAAGATAACATCCAACCGCTGCATAGTTGGTTCCTTTTCAAAGAATTGTGACTGCAGTAGTGTTTTTCTCACTCATTATATGGAATAGGCTATCTGATGGTAAGATGTGTTGAAACATTATGAGCTCTAATCATTTATCAAGCTTCTTGATGTTACTTGGTATAATCTACGAATTTACATCATGTTACTGTAATCTGTAGCTACTGCAAAAATTGGGCAAACTACACTTAGGATGTTTTCTGCTGTATCACCCTCTATCACAGGCTCTGATGCTGTCTTGGTTAAAAAGTGGAGTCAAAGAGTCGACTCCATCGAGTCCAGCAGCAAGTCGTCAGTTGCTCAGGCTCACTGCTGTTTTTGTTTGTTTGTTTTGTTTTTTTCATTTTTATTTACCTTCGTTACAGCCCGCGTCATGTAAACACGGAGGTCCTTAACATCGGCTTTGAATCAAGAATATTTGCGTGTATAGGAAAAAAAAAAGACAAAATAAATATAAATAAATGTATTTAAAAATACTGTTTCGATATTAATGACAGTAAAAGTAACCTGTTCACTCCGAAATAAAGATAGTGAACTGTCCCTGGGGTTGTACTCTCAAATGTTTAAGAGTACAAATATGTACTTTTAAAACTCATTTGAGACTCATCTGAGTCAATAGAAATGTATCTGTACAGTAATCTCTTTTTCTGATAGTAAATTAAAATGAATTAAATTCAAAGAATATATTCTGTTTTGTCAGAAAAATATGAATGAAGCAAATATACCTTAAAGACTTTTATATTCAGGACCATGGACAGCTACCAACTCCATCAACTTCTGGATGGAATGGAAAGTATTTTAGCCCAGATCACACTACGTCTTTTGTGGTGTACACACACACACACACACACACATATATATATATATATATATATATATATAATATATATATATATATATATATATATATATATATATTTAAACACTGTGTCCCCTTGCTGTTCACTCTATCACACACACTGACCTTGTTGGTCCTTGTAGATAAAAAGTCAGAGACAGTAATCTGTTGCTGCACAGTTTCTGTTGGTCATCGTCTAGTCCTTCATCAGTGGTCACAGATGCTGTTGGCTGGATATTTTCATTCTAAACAAGCAGAAACACACCTGATTCCACTTCTGATGCCAGTTGATTAAAGTGATGAGGTATTAGCAATTTGCTTTTTTTATGTATTTGCTATTTTTGGAAAACAGAACAGTAAAGAGCTGTTTTTCCATATAAAATATACTAATAGAGTAGGTGTCTTTGCACTAAGATTGCACTTTTTCAATGATAATCTCCCAGCATTGTTTTTGTTTAATATTTATTCCTCTTATTAATTTTTTTCTGCATGTATACAAAACTCTGAGACAGAATATACTTCGAGTAGGCCTACCTTTGTTTTGACATCAGAATAAAACAGGACAAGTATGCCACCCTCTGGGCAAACAAGTCTTGTTCACATAACCAAATACCAAAAAAGAATGCAGAAGCTTATTGGAAGCTTCTCTTCATTACCAGACAAAGGAGCAAATAGTAGAGTAATGCATTCCCTTTTCATTACAGATGATATTATCAGCAGAACAGTAAAATTTTTTAAATGCTTGCATGAATTTCTGAATTTCTTAGTATTTGATATGTCCCTCTTTTGTGGATCAAGATGACTTAGAAATAGTGCTGGATTTTGAATATTTCTTCTTCATTTCACTTGTCATAACTTTTCTTTGTTTTACATTCTTCATGATTCTAAAATTTTCTGTTGTTTATTTTCAGGTTTAAACAAAAAATACTTTCTCTGACTTTTGGACTCTGCTGTATTTTAAATGTCTTTTTATAGAAATAGAAATAGACTCAAGTCTGAGAAATAGACTGTAGTGTCTACAGCCATGTTGTACAATTACCTCATAGTACGTTACCTCCTGTCAATTAAAACAATGTTATTTGTCAGATTACTAGAACAGAGTTTGATCCTTTAAAGGTACTAAAAAGCAACATTATAGAAGAAACACCTTTGGTTATCTAATGAACCCTGCAATGCATAGTTCTTTACAAAACTCATTAGAACAGTTCTTTAGGGAACCAAAGGTGGGAAGAAATGGAATTTTATATAAAAGGTTTTAGTGAAAATTTCTGGCTTCTCATTTAAATAGCTTAGCATACTATTGGATCAGACACAGCCATGCTGCTGCTGGAGTTTTTAAACACCTCAGTGTCACTGCTGGACTGAGAACGGTCCACCCACCAAAAATATCCAGCCAACAGCATCCTGTGGGCCAGTGTCCTGTGACCACTCATGAAGGACTAGAGGATGACCAACACAAACTGTGCAGCAACAGGTGAGCCATTGTCTAAAATCTGTAATGACTTTACATTTACAAGGTGGACCAAAATGGTAGGTGTGTCTAATAGAGTGGACAGTGAGTGGACACAGTGTTTAAAAACTCCAGCAGCACTGTTGTGTCTGATCTACTCAAACCAGCACAATACACACTTAAATGCCACCACAGTGTCAGTGTTACTGCAGTGCTAAGAATGATCCACCACTCAAATAATACCTGCTCTGTGGTGGTCCTGTGGGGGTTCTGGTGATTTTCTCTGAATAGCATCCTGATTTAGTTGATTATTGAATTTACAAGTATCAAAAAATCACCTCAGTTCAGGAAAACCTTGAAATAATCTCTGTTGAAACAGGTTGCAAGATTTTATTCTAAGTAATTTTGGACCATTTCTGTTTGGCCTGTTTGTCATGAAATTGTGACACAGTGTAAAGGCCAGCTGGCATTTTTAAATTACATTAAAAAAATCACAACAAATATTGAGATACAAAATTTTGTTCTAATAGTGACACTTCACTAAATGCCTGTGTTGTGGAGCACCATTAGTCATTTATTTATATATTTAGTAGACAGAAAACTCCCACAATGGTTTCATGATGTGGCCATTCTGTCTTCAAAAAAATTAAATGTAACAAGAGATTGACTTGTACAGGATCTTTTGCAAATCTCTATGAGAAACAACAACTGACTTATGATATCTTAACACTTTGTGGATATAAACAGTCTTCTCTCTATTCTCTCTTTCAAAAGCAAAAGCCTTGTGTGCTGCTGAAATTCCTACAGTGGGAATGCATGGTGGTTTTCACCACTAGTGGGCAGTTTTGAGTTATACTGTATGTGCCACTGTAGCAGGGCTAAGGGTAGAGTTATCAAACTGCAGTCCTGCATAGCCAGAGTATTCTATGTCCTCCTGTATGACATACCTTATTCAAGTCACATAGGCCTGAATTATTAGGTGATAATTACATGAACAGGGACAACAGTCTGTTAAACAGTGTCAGACATACTACATAGGCAATCTGTTTGGGATAGAGATGGGGTCTTGTGTCTGTTGTGACTGATTTGCATCTTGACTTGGACTCACTCTAAACTGACTCATGAGTTGACTCAGACT